CAAGTAAGCACATTAAAAAGAAAACGTCTTTTCAAGTCAATGAAACTGGTTGGTTGTTTATTGCTCTTATTATTCGTATCTTCTACTCCATATATAGTCATTTTTCCGTTAGAGAGCATGAATGTAAAAAGTCACGTACACACTTCAAATTCACCATTATTTTTTTTATCATTCTTACTTCTAAGTTTAAACAGTTTTTTTAATCCTATTATTTATTTTTATCAGATACAGGAGTTCAAAACTGCCCTCAAACGCCTTTGCTGTTGACACTCTGTAAACGATTTTATTTTTAAATCTTACGTTCAGGGATTTAGTTGTGTTAATTAACGCATAAATGATATAAGATGTGATTGGTCGAAAAGTAATAATTACCATATTGACAATAACCTCTGATCTTCCCTCTGATTTTTGTTTCTCTTGCTCGCTTTTCATTTTGTTTTGACTTTTGGAGTAAATCATATGCTATAGTAATGAATAACATCACCTTATTGTCTATTTCTGCAGAGATTTATAGGTAAAAGTTTGTAATTTAATTACCCCTGAATACAAATAAATAACGTAACTCATCAAAATTACCTATTCATTGATTGATTGTATATTGTTTAACGTCCCTCTCGAGAATGTTTCACTCATATGGAGACGTCACCGTATGCCGGTGAAGGGCTTCAAATTTTGACCTTTACTCGGCACTCAGGGCCATTGAGCAGTGAGGGATCTTTATCGTGCCAACGCCTGCCGCTGACACGGGGCCTCGGTTTTTAAGGTCTCATCCGAAGGACCCGCAACTTTCACTTCAAAGTGCCGAGCGCATGGCGAAGGAACAGTTGCTACCAATTTTAACGACTAGGTCAGTCGCGGCCGAGATACGAACTCACGACCTCCCGATCACAGAGCGAGCGCTCTACCGACTGAGCTACCGTGAACGGTAAATTACCTATTCATATAACTATATAATACCACAAAAAAATAATTATAATACCTTGGTTTACAATATTTTTTTCAAGGGCTAGTTTTTATGCCCCCACAATTGAAGTTTCAGGGGTATATAGTTTTTGTCGTGTCCATCCGTCTGTCTGTCTGTCTGTCTTGCTTTTTGACTGTTTGTCTGCAAAAACTTGAACCTTGCTCTGACTTTAATTGATCGGAGCTATGACTTTCACATTTTACATGTGTAATCCTCGTGACAAAATCTTTTTTGGACACCACAAAGTTAATCCTGTTGACCTTGGAAATTGACCCACTTTTAAGGGGGAACTTATGACCGAAAAGTCTTTGTGTGAAATTTTCAAAACTTTGACATTTCTTTTCTGGTCACTTGCTTTATATTGTAAGGCATTAAAAATTATACCTTTATATGCTAATTTTTACACAGAAGCACGTGCAAAAAGAGTGTGAAATGCTAAAAATAGATTATTTACAGACATTATTTGTCTACGGAAAAAAAGAACCAAAAATGGCAAAACACATTCGAAATTAACATGTTTTTAAAATATTAGACTTGTATCTTCAAAATGAAGGCAAACTGATTGCAATTCATATTTTTCTGTCGTATATTTAACAATTCCGTCACGCATGATAGGCAATATCTTAAAAGTCTTTGTGTGAAAATATTGTAATTAATAAGTTTTGAAGAAATGAATTATCTTTTTATTTCAGTAAAGGAAAAAAGTATACCTTTGTGATATACATGTAATAAACGAGAAATACGAGGTTTTCTTTAATTTTCATACTCTTTTGTCATAAATATTGACCTTTCTGCACTAAGACAAAGGAAAGTAAGCACTGACGAACATCTGAATATTAAATTATTTTTCGGAAAACAAGTATTCTACTTTGATTAGTAATAACTTACACTGATGTATTTTTTTTTTCTTGATTCCGATCGTTCTGTATATGACCCACCCACCCCCCTTTTCCCTGTCCAACAACCAATACTTAGATTGCAATTAAATCTACGGATCAATATTAAAGCAATATAGGCGTGAGTACATTGTTTTAAAATCTTGTTTTAATTCTTATCAAAAAAAAATTAATGTAATGCTGAAATTACTAGTTAACATATTTTTTCCTGATTTAAGCCGCCTTCTTTGCCTAATTTTATCTTTTCTTTTTGCACTTATATCATAATATTATTGACGTGTCTTTTCACAACTGAAATTACTATGAACTTTCAACCAATGGAAGAGAATTCTAGTATTACCAAACTCTATGAATTAATGAAAAACTATGACAATTGTTAATAATAGATAAATTTTCTTTTTAAAACTTGTGTATATGTTATTGACTATTTATAATGTTAGGTCTAAATCACAGAACTTAGCAAAAGTCAGCAGGTATAAAAGAAATGTCGCTATTGTGACGTCAAATAATGCTGTTATGACGTATAACGACATAGCCCCCCCCCCCACCCCCCTTAAATAGAAAATCAAATTTATTACTTTGGCAATAACTTTTGGACGGTAGAACTAGGACTTTCATACTTCATATTTGTATTTTTGTGCGAAGACTTTTCATTGGATACCAATAATTTTGATCTTTAGATCTTGACCTTGGAGATTTATGTACTTATGGAAATTTTTTGACCACATTTTATCAGCGGTAATGGCTGGGGCTTTCGTATTTCACATGTGTATTCCTTGTGAAAAGACATTTCATAGGATATCAAAAAACTTTGACCCTTTGACCCTGACCTTGGAGTTTGACCTACTTTAAAAACATACCATGACCACACCTTTTGAAGGGATACCAATAGGGCTTTTTTACTTCACATATTTAATTTTTGTGACAAGACATTTCATTGGATATCAAGAACTTTGACTCTTCGACCTTTATCCTGGAAACTTGACCTTCGCCATTACCTTTGAAGGGTTAGAACTAGGGCTTCCATACTTCACATTTCTAATCATTGTGACAAGTTCTTTCTTTAGAAACCAACAACGTTGACCATTTTTCCCTGGAGTTTGACCTTCTTTTCAATTATAACTTTGGAACAGATGGTGCTAGGGCTTTCATATTTCACAAATGTATTACTCTGGATTCCAATGTATTTTATCTGCATTTAAAAACAGTTTAATCTTTGATATATTGTCATACGGGAGTATCAGTGTTTCTAAAACACATCTTGTTTTGTTTTTTTAAGGTGTCTTTTAGAAAGCAAGATTTAAAAAATATATTTGAATATGCAAATAACGCAACCATTTAAACAAAAAAAAACATTCTTACTTAATAGCTAGGTTAAGATAAATCTAATTTTCGTTCGTGATTACAATTTGAGTCGAGATCAAGAGGATTCTAAAAACGCAAACCGAAAGAAAACAATAATGGACGATTTCATTTTGCGTTATTACAATCTGCGTAGATATCATAACAGTATATGTTATTTTCATAATTTGCTTCATAACATGACTTGTGACTATTGATGCAAATAATCATTTGACTAAATATAAGGAATACTGAACATTATTTTTGATCATTTTTTGCTCTTTGTATCACAATTTTTTTAATCATATTGATGTAAATAAAGACGTAAAGCAATTTTAATTGACTGAGAGAAAATAAATACAAATTGCAGAAAAATAAAATGTTGATATCCATATTCCTTGCAGAAATGGTACATAGTGTAAACTTAATTAACATTTTGCATTACATGTTAGAAATAAGTTCTAAGGGTTATTACAAAAAACCTTCCAAATTTTACATTGTAATTTGTCGTGTATCATCTGTTTCAATTAATTGATGTAGAAAATAAAATCGCAATAAAGTGGTTCATATTTTTTTCTACTTTATTTGCTAAGGATAATCCTGTACGACACACAAGGAGAAATAAATTTATTATCGCTTATATTTATATCTGTATATATGATCACATAAAGTTTCTCACTATGAATATTGTATTATTGATATATATATTGATATCTATGATTTGAAATGTATGTCATTATTCGTAATTATGAATTTTTCAATCATCGAATATCACTTGACTTTTTGAGCAGCGTTAAAGTCAATTTATTTATTTAGAAAAAAAATATTAAGATATCATTTTCTGGTTTGCATAATGCTTGTTTTAATTAAACACTATGTGTATGATGTTGCAATGTATTACTGGTATTTAATTCATATATATTGTACTTTAAGGAAATCGAACTTTCGTCAAAAAATGTTTTTGTGATCAAGTTATTAGGTCCTGAGGAGATCAGGAAATACTAAGAAAATACTAAGATATCACTTTCTGGTTTGCATAAAACTTGTCAGAATCATCTCTATGTGTATTATATTGCAATGTTGTAATAAACTCTTGTATTCTATGGAACTTACGTCAGTAAAATGTTATTGTAATCAATTTCTAAGGTCATGATGAGAACATGCGTAGGGAAATATCAAAAAGAAGATTTCAGATAAATATATAAACATGAAGATGCAACAGTCATCAATGTTCATTGGAAGAAAACACAAGGAGTAGGGAAATCATGGAATACTTATATTAGAGGTTTGATCAGGTGCTATGAAGGGCCAAAAATCCCCTGATCATCAGGTGTAGTCTCCTTTATTTCATCAAAAGGTAGCAGAAATATAATTTTTAAAAAATGGCTAAACACTTCAGATGATAAACGTCAGACATCATTTAAAATGCTGTAACAATAGATTGAATTTGCCAAGAAAGCCATAAACCAACGAATAAGTGAATTTTTGACCTGCAAATTGATTGTTCATATTTTGTTAAGAAAGTTCTATTGAACCACAAGACTTGCCTTCAGGTATCCAGAAATCAAAGAATGATCAGAATTAATGTTCAGGTATGAGTAATAAATATTAATGGATATATATGAACATCTCTCTTCTAATAAAAATGTACTTTTGTCAAAGGTCTTAAGAAAGAAACATAATATTCACAAGTCATTTGAGAACACGGAGAGAAATGAAATAAGCAAAGAAGCTACGTTTTCGATTTTTAAGTCTACATGATTGCAAAATAGGTACGAATAGTGCACAATAATTTCCATTCCAATATTTTTATTTAATGTATAGTAATGGAGATGAATAGATACAAAAGATGTTTAGTTTACAAGTTATAATCAGTAAAATGCACATTCGTTTAAATGATTCACAATGTATATCCAATCATAATTATACAAATGATACATGTATATACATTTATCCTAACCAATGTCACCTTATAATAAGATTTTTAAATATTTCTTTTGCTACTGAAGTGAGAGGACTTTGATTTCCTCAGACAACCATTCCCCCACATACATATTGTCATCCTCGTCTATACAGAGAGCACGAGGCTTGTGCATGTCTTTATACTGAATGTAGTGAAGAAGCTCGCCATTCTGATTAATCACGTGAATTCTATTCTTCACCATGTCAGCTACAATTATGTTATTCTTGGAATCACAACAGATGCCGTATGGATCAAACTGGGGATCACTTTGTGCTCCTGTGTACCGGAATCTCAGAAAGCCACCGGCGTCCGTGACGATCACGGCGTTCACGTCAGAAACACAGATGTCTCCATTTCCGTTTTCTGCTATGTAGGTGGGACAAATAAAAATGGGTCGATTTTTGTCTGTGCTTATTTCGAACTGTTTTCTACCATTTTGTGATAACTTGAGAACTTTACCCAGAGAACGGTTATGTACCTGCTGGTTCCAGAGACAGACCAAAACGGCTCCTGATTTACAAGCTGCCATTCCTTTTGGTGTGTATCCAGTGGATAGTTCATCTAGCGTATGCCATTGAGAATAATTAGTCCCCAATGATCTTTTAGTTGCATTCCAAAATACGACATTGCCATAAACGTGAAAACACAAACAGGACCCATAAGTAGAGAAAAAATAAATAGGACCTTTTCTTAACTCAAAAGAAGAATCAGAGCTTTTCATGTTTAAAACAGAAACGCACACCTGTCCTTTATATGCACATTTTAGATCGATTATATACCTCTGTCCGTAATTTATTGTTCTTACTATTTCAACTCGATTCACGGTGGCAGACAAAACTTGAGCTTGCATCACTGGACTTGTTTACGTATAATCAAATCAGCCTTCAAAATAAAAAGAAAATTGCATCAAAATAAAAACAAATGATCTCTGATTTGAATGAATTCAATGAATTCAATATATAAGGCTAATTTACCCAATAGAAATCAGGGTACATGTAAATATATCATAGAAAATAATTAGAGCTTTTATTTTGGAAAGATACCAAGTATATACAGGAATGGTATTATCATTCATGAAGACTATCTAATATTTAGAATGAACAGTTTTGTTATGCTAGTATTCGTAATCACAATTGGGTTAGTATTGCTGTATGGTAAAGACAACATGATTAATTGATATATATATAAAAAAAAAAAAAAAAAAAAAAAAAAAGGCAGTCTGGCATTTAAGAAAAATTTTAAGATTTCGTACTTTTAATCACCGTCTAATAGTTGAGCCGTGGAGATAAGCATGTATACCATAAAATAAAAGAATATGTACTAAACTTTGTAAAACTTAACATGTTGCCGCTGAATACCATTTTATACTTGATTGCACTGTATTGTCAAACATAAGAAAAACGTTAATTAGTGA